TTGTGTTCTTAGTGTAGTTTACTTGCATGCCACATTATAATATATTATAATAAGACTAAAACTGTATGTGAGGTAGCATTTTGAGAGTAACAGAACTTCCTATCTTGATTAACCAAGGTAATAATGGATATAAAGAATTATGTACCTTAGTGTAGTCTACTTGTGTGCCAAATTATATTGAAATCAGACCAAAACTGTAGGAGGAGTAGCATTTTGATTGATTGATTGATTGTATATTTTTTAACGTCCCTCTCGAGAATTTTTCACTCATATGGAGACGCCACCACTTGCCGGTGGAGGGCTACAAATTTTGTCCAATGCTCGGCACTCAGGGCCTTTGAGCAGTGATGGATCTTTTTCGTGCCAACATCTACTGCGACACGGGGCCTCGGTTTATACGGTCTCATCCGAAGGACCGGTCTCCACGTCCCGCAGTGGGATTCGAACCCGCGACGTATGGATTGACTACTTACTTCGCGACTCTAGAGCAGACGCTCTAACCACTGCGCCACGCGGGCGACGAGTAGCATTTTGAAAGAATTTCACAGAAATTTCTTTTAAGTAACAACACCTACGCCATTTGCCGAAATAAAAGATACACAGAATTACGTATCTTAATGTAATCTACTTGTGTGCCAAGTTATATTGAAATCAGATGAAAACTGTTTGAGGCGTAGCATTTTGAAAGAATTGAAAGAAATTTCTATTTTTAGTAACAACGCCAACACCGTTCGTCAATATCAAAAACTGATATATAGAATTATGTATCTTAGTGTAGTCTACTTGTGTGCCAAGTTATATTGAAATCAGACCAAAAATGTAGGAGTAGCATTTTGAAAGAATTTCACATAAAATTTCTATTTTAGTAACAATACCAACACTGATTGTCGAAATCAAAAATCGATACAGAGAATTTTGTATCTTAGTAAAGTCTACTTCTGTGCCAAGTTATATTGAAATCGGATCAAAACTGTAGGAGTAGCATTTTGAAAGAATTTCACAGAAATTTCTATTTTTAGTAACAACACCAACACTGTTAGTCGAAATCAAAAACCGATATAGAGAATCATGTATCTTACTGTAGTGTACTTCTGTGCTAAGTTATATTTTAATCAGACCAAAACTGTAGGAGAAGTAGCATTTTGAAAGAATTTCACAGAAATTTCTATTTTTAGTAACAATACCAACCCAGTTTGTCGAAATCAAAAATCGATACAGAGAATTATGTATCTTAGTGTAGTCTACTTGTGTGCCAAGTAATATTGAAATCAGACCAAAACTGTAGGAGGAGTAGCATTTTGAAAGAACTTCACAGAAATTTCTATTTTTAGTAACAACGCCAACACCGTTCGTCAATATCAAAATCCGATACACAAAATTATGTATCTTAGTGTAGTCTACTTGTGTGCCAAGTTATATTGTAATCAGACTAAAAATGTAGGAGTAGCATTTTGAAAGAATTTCACAAAAATTTTCTATTTTAGTAACAATACCAACACTGTTTGTCGAAATCAAAAATCGATACACAGAATAATGTATCTTGTAATCTACTTATATGCCAAGTTATATTGAAATCAGATCAAAACTGTAGGAGGAGTAGCTATAGCATTTTCAAAAATTATTGACAGACAGACAGACGGACGGACGCACGCCGAACGCATTACTATCGCATAAGCTTTTCTGGTCTCTGACCAGTAGAGCTAAAAACTAAGTTTCCAAAAGTTCTTATTGTTTTATGATATTATTCTTTTTTTTTACTGAATGTCGGCTTCAAAAAGATCTTGATGTAAACGTGGAAAATTTTGATTCTTATGTTTTTCCAAGACAGAAAGGCAGAAACACCCAAGGAGGGGGGATTGTAATTTTGATTCGTATAAAATTCCACAACTATATATCGTTTGTAAAAAAAAAAAATCAGCCAAGGCCGTAACTAGGCTCAATTTTTAGTGAGGCAAGGGTGCTGGGCATTCCTAGTCTCAGATGGGTTAAGGGTAGTACCTCATGACCAGTGACTGATGTTTCCAAGGGGAGGGAGGTCCTGAAACCTGGGTATCAGAAAATAAAAGATTTAATCTTAAAAAGTTTTTACGTTTTGAATTGTCGCCCGCATGGCACAGTGGTTGGAGAGTATGCTCTAAAGTCGCAGGCTAAGGAATTGATCCTTATACATCACGGGTTCGAATCCCACTGCAGGATGTAGAGACAGGTTCTTCGGATGAGACCGTAAAAACCAAGATCCCATGTCACAGTAAGTGATGGCACAAAAAAGACCTCAGTCTCACTGTTCAATCATCTTCAGTGATCCTGAAAGTCCAGTACAGATTTAAAACTTGCAGCCCTCCATCGGCAAGTGTTTCAATATGAATGAGAAATTCTTAGAATGGATGTTAAATAATCGAACAATTTTCAAAAAAAACATTTTGAATTAAATTTACATGCGCTCTAAATGAAAATGAGGCACCTGGTGAGATGAAGGATTTACAGAAATGGAAATAAAAGTTGAAAATATTAATTTAGCACGAAGACACACAATGTAAAACTTTTTCACTTTTCAAAAAACTCTAAAAATTTAGTGAGGCATTGGCCTCACTTGCCTCAATGGTAGTTACGGCCTTGTCAGCACGATACTATTATATGTTTAAAAATACAGCGTCTTATCAGAAATATGGACCAAGACCTATATGTAAGTTGGGTATATATATCACCTAGTAATTCTACATTCTATGGCCTTTATGACTGTGACTTATTCAATAATCTGGATTGATTGATTGATTGTATACTGTTTTACGTCCCGCTCCAGAATATTTCACCGATATGGAGACGTCACCATTGCCGGTGAAGGGCTGCAAATTTAGGCCTATGCTTGGCAAAATGTAGGTCACGATGACCTACTTTCGACATTTTATGGCTATATTTATTAAGTATCTTCGGTATTTATTGGCTTAATCATCAAAATCTAGTACATCTCTAAACATGCAATAAAATGTCATGCATTCAAGTATATGAATGTATTCATTTAGAAATCCCTTAATCAAAGCTGAGTACTTTTTGCCGAACATCGTACATTCTTAAATCAAAATTTCAACATCGTTTTCTTTTTCAAAACGTTACTATAAATTTAAACACATTTTCTATTATTTGTTTCAACATTCATATTTGATTTCATCCAATAGTCTATTATGTTCAAAAGAATTTATTTGCCGTGTGCTACGACATAAAATGTAAACAGTCTTTATAACAGTCGTGATTCTGTTTTTGATTCAAGAGGGTACATGAGTGTTTCACACCTTATCTCATTTAATATATAGATTAGACTTTTTGTAATTTATAAATATACTCAACAAAAAAAAGAAACGCATATTGTTTTACTCGTCAAAGAAATTTTTTAGAATGTACATAAAACAACTATTTTTTATATCAGTGGATACCTGTGACCTATTTAAAGGACAACATGAGGTTTTAAAACCCAAGTGTTGAATTATCTCCCTTGATTAAACATGTTTATGAAAGTAGTGTTTTTCGTGATTTCTTCTAAATCAGTTGTCTATTTTCATTGATATTTTGGATTTAGAGAAACTTTTCACACTTCTATTTAACCCATATTTAACATTTGATTGCAGTGTTGATACTGCAATGCCACGCCCAAACAAAGATGAATACAACCAGGCTAACGATGATACTAAATGGAGATACGCAACAGGAAGTTGCAGCTGTATTTGGAATAAATCAATGGGCTATGAAACCTTAAAACTAACGTCTGAAGACCACTATCATGCCATCCGCATGTAACCACAACCAGACGGGACCGTCACACCCCCCCCCCCCTTCATCACCTCATGCTATTTAGAACTTGCTGTAAAACTGCTGCTTTTATTGCTGGATGATAAAATTTGCATAAAAATGCATAAATTGTTCGCAAGAGAATGAAATGAGATGGTATTTCTCCACAATATCCGTACATTGGAAATCCACTAGCATTGAGACTTTGCACAGTACATATTGTTATGCCCCTTGAATTTGGGGGCAATGAAAATGACATCAACTTGACTTTTCAATCTGCAATATTCATTTTTATCACAACACACTCTAAAATCGCTTAAATAATGTAAGGTTTAAACTGAAAACTTAGAATTTCATATTATTCTGATTATGCGTTTCTTTTTTTGTTCAGTATAGATAAAGTATCTCTTAATGTAAATCAGGACAAAAATTGCACTGTTAAGCAATTAATTACACGAGTAGGGACCTACCTTAAGTTCTTTTTTCAGGCTTGGTTGTTTCATATCATTTTCTTATGATGCAAATATTTCAATGAATCTTTATTACTGATGCTGTATAATTTTATAATTTAATTCTTCTAAAATTACGATAACTCTTTTATGCCTCCTTTTTTAGCTCTACTGGTATATTATTATTATTATTATTAGAGACCAAAAGAACTTGTGCGATAGTAATGCGTCCGGCGTCCGTCCGTCCGTCTGTCTGTAAACAATTTTTCTAAACGCTACTCCTACAATTTTAGTCTGATTTCAATATAACTTGGCATATAAGTAGACTACACTAAGATACATAGAATAGCGCAGCGGTTTTTGATTTCGGTGAATGTTGAAATGTAGTTGTGTTGTCTTTAGGCTCTTTCATTCTTCTTTTTCTCTTACGGATCTGTGTTAGAGCTTGGCATCTATGAAGCTGACTGACTCGACTACAGCTAACTGGATAAAACAAACAGCTGCTTTACTTTTTTCTAGGTGTTGGCAAATGCACAATTTTTTTTTTATTTCAGTGTCCATATTTTGGGCTACTCTACTGATATGTCACCTTGATATTTTTATCGTAAGTTTCTAATCGTACCTATCAGCTTTTAAAGACTCATTTTTCGTTTTAATGTCGTCTTCCACTTTTGCCAGTCTGTTCAGTTTATCTCAATATCAGATAAGGAGTAAATGTTTCCATAGTATGTATTGGATACTCTCTGGGTGCGTTCACAGTTCTGCCGTTGGTAGACAAATGTTGCCGTTGGTAAAATTATTTACCATTGGCATGCCACTGGTACCAATGTTTTTTGCCAATGGTAGATTTTTCTGCAGACAGTCTAGAGTGTGGTTAGTGTTGGTAAATGACGTCACAGCTATTTTCAACATGGCGGCAAAAAGAATGGATCCTGGTTTCAGAGAGACAATTTTCCCCTTGAGTCTATTACTTGGAGAAAAAACCTATAAAATTTTAGTCAAGAGCAGCCTAGTCAAATTGATTTCTGACAGTAAGTATACATGGCGGTCTTTGTAGATGTTTAATCGTAAGCATAACATATATTTATTAAATGTACAGTTAAACACGTGTTTGTTATGTATGCAAAATGTCACTTGATGAAAACGGCATTTAGTATATGCGAAAGCGCACTTGGTGAAAATGGCACTTAGGTAAAACGGCATTTGTTGAATATATTTATAAAACAGCACTTGTTAAAAATATATATATTATATATACTCTGTGTAAACTATGTGTCATAGTAATGACTCGGAGCAAAACTGAATTATTTTTCTGAATCTGAAATTGATACATTTAATTTCTTTGTAAGCTAGCTCACATTTACAACATGTACGAAACAAATGTTAATTTTGCCTTTGAATACTATATATATATATGTATAAAACCTCTGCTTCTGAAATACATGTATATATATAATTTCAATCAACCCAAACATTTTATTTCAAAACTTCATTAATTGTTTACTTACCTTTGATGGGTATTAAAATGTAATCTTAGCTCCTACAGTTTTCACCAGTGCTGTTTATCAAGTCTATATCTCAAAATCATTTCGTATATTTTTATTCATAATTATCCAGTTTTATTATTGTTATTATTATTTCCATTTTATTACACGGAATAGCATATGGTTAAATTATGACAATAACAAAGGAGGCTGATTTTATAAAATAAATTTCATCTCCAATGATTATTTTTTAAGAATCTTTTGTAAATTAATTTAATATTATGATGTCATATAATACACACATGATTTTTTTCAGATCTTGAAAAGTTCTCAAAAGAACTGGCTACATTGCTCCCATCAGAACCTCCAAATGATCCAGTGTACATAGATATTGTGGATGACCATGTTGTTGTCCCACAGATTGTGTCGCAGCAGACAAATGCAGAGACTAGGCCCAGCACATCCTCAAGTACTGTGGAAACAGTAACAGTAACGGCAACCTATGATGATGAAGAAGATGAGGATGAGGACCAGGCTGTTAAACGCTTTGACTGGAAGACATCAGCAACAAAAAAACTTCTAACAATTCTGATTGATAAGAAGAAAGAAACCAGTGATTTTGCTCTTTCCAAAAAAATTTGGCCTATGGTGGCAGATCAGATCAAACGGGCAACAAGTTATCAGCCATCCGCCATTCAATGTAGAGAGAAGTTTTATTCTCTTAAGAGAAGTTACCGCCACTTCCTGATAGAATCAAAGAAAACGGGCAATAGACGGCCAAAGCAATTCACATTTGAAATGGAAATGGAAGCAATATTAGAAAATGACCCTTCATTTAAACCACTAGTCATGAAAAGCTCATTTGGAGCCAAGGAAATTAACAACAACGATGATGTTGAGGACTCGGACGAAGATCAAGATGGTGAAGATGGTGAGGAAACAGCAAGTACCAGTACATCAACAAGTAGTTTAAGCAGGAAAAACAAAGGGAAAAAAAGAAAGCTTGATGAACTGAAAGAATTTCTGACTGAAAGAGATAACGCACTCTGTAAGCAATTAAATGAAATGCAGCAGAAAACGAATAGCATCCTTGAAAAGCTTGTTGACAAACTTTGAAAAACTTTAAAAGATATCCATTTGAGTCAGAAAGGGTTATTTGAGTGGGTTTCAACTGTATTCTGCATTATACTTTGTTTAGTGACATTTCAAAGAGAAATGCTTACATTAATACATGTATCTACAGTTGTTTCAGTGGTTGTCAACTGTATTCTGCATTATGCTTTGTTTAGTGACATTTCAAAGAGAAATTCTTACTTTAATACATGTATCAACAGTTGTTTCAGTGGGTGTCAACGGTATTCTGCATTATACTTTGTTTAGTGACATTTCAAAGAGAAATTCTTACATTAACTCATGTATCTACAAATAACAAGTAACTTTGTATGATACCTTGTTAAATTTGATTTATTTGATTGCACCTCTTATGGAAACAAAATCAAAATACATTCATGGTATGATTTTTGGTCATGAAAATCATAAAAGCCAATTGTGAATTCGTGGTGATTTCTAATTGATAAACTTATGTTACAATTTTTCAATGTTCTTTTTTATTCTCTGTTGAATACTGCATGCTTCACAGCTGGTTCATCATTTGCTGTCTCAGCTGTATACCCCGAATTTGCTGTCCATCTCTAGCAAACAAAGCATCATCACAAATTTCAGCATCATTGACCTCGGGAACTTCAAAAACATCACTTTTTAACATGCATAAATTGTGCAAAACACATGCAGCAAGCACAGAATTCACAAGCATGTGCATATTGCATGAATCAAAGCGCAAAAGCCTTCGAAATCTGCATTTTAACATTCCAAATGCTCGTTCAATTACCTGTCTGCATTTGCTATGGACATAATTAAAGCGTCGTTGCTGTTGGGTCAGGTTTCCACAGTCTCGGAAGGGCGTTATTAGCCACTCCATTATAGGAAAAGCAGAGTCTCCTAAGATGCAATAACCATTAGGAATTTTGTTACTATTTTGAAATAAATCTGAAAATCTTAACACGGTAGCATCATGTGTGCTGCCTGGGTTCCCAGTCCAAACATAGGTGAATTCCATTTTTGAGTTACAGCATGCTAAAAGAACTATGGAATAAAACTTTTTTCTGTTAAAGTAAGCCTGAGGTTGTTGCACTGGAGCCTTGATTGGTATATGACTTCCATCAATAGCACCTAAGATATTTTGGAATTCAGACTTCTCCCCAAACTGCTGGCAAGTTTCATTCATTTTGGCTGGGGTTTCTGGCCATGTTATCACTTCTTGCATTATCTCAAGGAGTCCCGACGAAACTCTTCTAATACTAATATGGAAGCTGCTCTTTGCTATTCCAAATCTGTCCGCCATTGACCGAAAACTTTCTAAGTTACCAATATACCAAAGAAACATTAGTAGTTCTTTTTCCAGATTTGGCTGTGGGCCTGTAAGTTTAGTATATTCTTTAGACCGAATAAGTCGTTCAATTGTAGATTGAAAAGTTTCCCTGGTGAGACGAAAGTGCATTTTAAAATCATCAATTGAGTATTGAGGAATGGTTATCTCATAGTAGTTGCAAATTCTAGTTATTGAATCTGACCTAAATTCTTCGTACAGATTAGTTATTAAATCTGAGCTTTGCAGATGATGGATAGACAGATTCAATATATGATGAAATTGTTGTTGCTGCTGTATAATTAGGGCAGCAACAAGGTGTTTGCTGTTTGACATGTTTTCAATTCTGTAAATCAGTATTACCAACGTTTCCATTGGACTCCCATTGGTAACATTGGTAAAATCAATATTACCAACGTTTCCATTGGGCTCCCATTGGTAACATTGGTAAAAACAAAACATTGGTATGCCAATACGCGTTCAGGGTTTATTGGTACAAATGGTACCATTGTCAAATTATGGTACCAATGGTAAATTGAGAGTTGGTACTATTGGTAGAACTGTGAACGCACCCTCTTTCTACCCTTTTCTTCATTTCTACTCTTGCTGTTCCTTTCAATTGCCGCCGCTTGATGATCTTCTTGTGCATAATAGTTCCTTCTCTGGGGACGTGGACCTTTATCTTACGCTTGTCTCCGGGATCTTCTTTAATAAAGAAACAAGAAAACATTCATTTAACCATCAATTGTCGCCCGGGAAATTTATAAAGTAAACAATGAAAAAGAGTTTTGATCATCAAACCGCTTCGATGTGTGTGAAAGGGCATACGTCTAATTGATGGAGACGATAGTTGCAAAAATTTTGAAAACTTGTAGTCGGAAAAAAATGTATCTAAATGGTTCAAAATTATGTCAGTTGTCGATACTTAATTATGTGTTACTCCTACTTCACTTCTTCATTTAGTTTAATTTAATTGACTCAAATTTTGATGTACACTGTACTAGTTAACTTTATATACGTACAAATTCATATCTAAGAGCACATATCCTGGAGAATTTTATAAACTTAAAATTTCTTAAATTTTTGTTGATATTTCCCATATGTATTATATTTATATACTATATAATTGTGTATATGTTGTAGAAATTAGAGGCTAGGCGTAGTGTCTTAAAACTTGGGATGAAGAAAAGAAAAAGAAGGTAGAGGAAGTCCTACATGTTGATTTCATGTCATCAGAATATGAAAACACCTCAGATGATGACACCATCTATGAAATTGCCAATCTTAGTTTGCTGTCCGACGAGTGCCTCAAGGTGTGTAAAGAATTGGACACAAAAACTGCTTCTTTAAAAAAACGAAAAGATCGAAAAGACAGAGTATGAAAAGAATTCGGTCAAACAGAGAATCTAGAAAAGATAAGCCTGTTGAAGTTACAGCCGAGCAGAAATGGGCAATTAGGGATTAATAAAATATCAGTTGCTAAATACTCGTGTTTTAATTTGTGTTAAATAAATTTGATGTATTTTTAACAAATTCAAAGAAGATGGGCGCATTTGGCGGGTGATCTGCAAGAATCACTTGTACGAAACATTTATGATTTAATGTCCATGATTTGGTTGGCTGAACATACCTGGTCATATTTTACAAACACATCCATGGTTTTTTTTTTTTTCATTTACTTTGAAAGACATTGTGAATTTGTAACATTTATGTCTTTTTCAAGGGGGTACTATAACATAGTAATGTTTCACAAAAAATTAAACCTAAAATATTTAATGCATAGATGCATGATACGTGTACATTATAGAAAAAAATACACCTTTACTTACTTTAGAATATATTCTGTAAGCACAGGTACAACAATATTTAAGTACAAATATACAAAGATATATTAAGCAAAGCTCTGCACGGGCTGGCGGGAAGAAAGTCTGTCTATCTAATTTTAGGAAAGGGAAAGTCCTTAAGGTATTCAATCCCTAATGGGAACAAATTCAAGGAAATTGAACACATTACTGATATGTAGGCATTGAATACTCAGTTTATTTAGACATATTTCCCATTTATTACTACTAGTATGTATAGTGGGATCTGTCCTAATTTATGACCTTGAGTTTTGGTAAGAGTTATCTCCCCTTCTTTTAATTAATAAAAAAAAATCAATAAAAAAAAAATTAGCCGGTAAAAAAATCGTTTTCAATTGTCATTCTATTTTAAATGTTTCAATGCATCTTTCCACCGCAGGATTTATTGATATTCAAATTATTAAAATTTTTATTTTGAAAAAACGCTTTTCTCCATAGACTTCAATGCAATCTTTGATAATTAATTACTGCTTTATTAATGACATTTTTAAAACTTTCTCGCGGGCAATCCTTTTCCACTATAAAATTCTTTAATATCATATCAGTGTATTATGTCCTTGACAGATATTTAAAGGTAGAGAACTAGGTCCCATTAGGGATGGAAATCCTTAAGTAAGTCGTACGTAAGTTCATTCTTTACGATACTCCTCCCCGTTCCAATTTGAATGTTTTGTATTTGAGTTATTTAAATTTTCAATATTAATTTAATATACAAAATATTACTTTATAAACAACACCTATTGACTAATATAATGGCCACAATTATTAAAACAATTATACAAACAATAAAAACTGATTTACTGTTAACATGGCCATATAATAATATAAAACAACATCACATCCAGCAACGATGAAGAAGAATACAGAACACAATAACATCCAGCGCTGATAAAGAAGAACACAAAAGACATCATCATATCTGGAGCCGTTCGAGGAATTTGACGCAATGGAGACTGAATGTATCACTGTCAGCACACTTAATAGCGACATTAAGGCATCTTTAAATTAAATATTAGATATCTTCAGCACACCAATAAAGCGGCATGCACTTGGTCACCAGTCTTTCCTGTTTTAACATCCGTAGAGCTTCCGTGCATTCATGACGGTTGTTCTCATCAGCTCTGGGGGACGCATGTTCAAATGGACGGATAAATAAGCTGCTACTTCTCCCAAATAAGCTGGACTTCTCACGATGGCACCTCCTAAAGGAAAGTAGGGCGTATCGGTCTCCAGGAGCAGCTTATTATGAGGGATAGCCAGTAACCCTTCCAGCTGTTCATGGTCAAAGGTTCTGACGGCAGCTCTCACTCCAAAGTCCGCAGCCAAGTCCTCACCACGTCAGTTCTTCCCATGAAGCAGTGTACATGGATTTTCTGTTCTGGATCACAGATATCCTCCTTTAACATGAGGCAACGGCCATGGACATCTGAGGAATAAGTGTGTCCTCTTGGTCCTCTGAGGTGGAGAACAAGGGGCTGCTCGACTTTTGTTAACTTCAGAAGCCAAACAAACACTTCTTCTTGTCTACACCACTGGGAGGGGGCAATGGTTCTGTCAGACCGCATTCCCCCAATGCCACTACTTTAGGATGTTCTAGGAGTTGTTACATCTTCATCGTTTTTTCGACGGTGAGGGTATCATAATGCTTGGGATTAACTCCAATAGCCACTTTCCAGGGACCTTGTAAGGTGAAGTTTACCTCTGGATAGGACTTGGGCTCTCTATATACAATAATTCCCCCAACTACGTCTACCTTGATGGCTGGCTTATAGGAAACATCACTGGAGAAGCTGTATTGCAGTAATTCCTCTACAGTACGTCCTCCAGACCTCCCCCAGACTGCCCTAAGTGAACGGTCTAGGTGGAAATGGGCATCAAATACCTGAGGCAATGATGTGTTGACCAGTACTGTAGATTTGTCTTGGTCTGAATCAGCCTCATCTACCAGGATAAATTCCTCAAAGTCTGACGGCAGTTCAGAATCCATCGCTTCCTCTACCATCTTATCTTCCTTGCTGGGGTCTTCTAACGGCTGAAAATGGTAAAACTGCTGCTGTTGATCAGGACTACAGCTATTCAGAATCACCATGATGAACCTCAAGAACAGCAACACAGCAGGAGAGTTGAAATTTATTAGCTTATAGCAAGCACAAAAGCATAGGAAATATGATTATTAGATCACGTTTACCACAAGAATACAACTGCTAAGGTGGTCCCCTGATGAGGCGGGCCTTAGGGCATATAGCCGTTTTATTAAACACCGCCGAAACACTCTTTACTATATAATGGTGTATGAATCAAAATTAAAATTAAGAAAATGTCACAAAGTTTGGTTCAGAGTGTCGGGTCCTAATAAATTTCATGAACAGTATGGCTGATTGATGTCCTTTTTCTCACACCTTTTCCATATTTGGCTATAACTTCTTAATTAAAGGTCAGAGCGACATGATTTTTGTGCGCGACACACCTTCTAACCAAGACGCATCAGATGACAAAGTTTGATAATCCTAGGCCTCATAGTATAAAAGTTATGAGCCGGAAACGAAAAAGTTAACAGACAGACAGACGGACGGACACGAAGCCTGTAACATAATACGTCCCGTCTGAAGACGGGCGTATAAAAAGAACATCCTGGAAGATGAAAGGTAAATAAAAAATTACTGGGAGCTTTTGTATGTAGATATGATTTCTATTTTTCTTGAACTGAAAACTTTGTGGTATTGTATTTCAGAAATCACAACGACACAGTGGCAATGCAACAAGTTATGAAGCAGTTATTAAGGCCCCCTCCACAGACCCTTTGCCTATGTTAGCCTATCCTGTATCTCAGTACATACCAACAGAGGTAAGAATTTGGAACAGTTGATGATGCATTAACGCAGAAGAAAAGGAAGTCAGCATGTCTGATACTCTATAACCAAGGCATTTTGATTCTGTAGTGAAAGCTGCACATCTGACTTGAAAGCAGGTCATGATGATGTAGAGGATTAACAGTCACCATTAACTGCCATCAAATTAGGATGTGACATATGCCAAAAGAATAAAGGACAAAGAGATAATTGATGATTGCAAGCAGTTTTTAAGACTGATCAACATTGAACGGTCCGCAAAAGT